CCCAGTGTCGCCGTGTCCCCGCAGTGGCCGAGGCCGTGGCCCGCCGCCTGCGCGGGGGGGTGCTGGAGCGGGAGGGGACATCGGTGGCCGTGCTGCAGAGCGACACCCGCGACCACTACAGAACCTTCCAGATGCTGGAGCGGCTCCTGCACGCGCCGCCGCGGCTGCTGCAGCAGCTCCTCTTCCAGATCCCCCCCGAGCGACAGGCCCTGCTGGTGCAGCGGTACTGGGAGCGACTGGGAGGGACTGGAATGGGACTGGGATGGACTGGGACGGACTGGGATGGACTGGGATGGGATTGGGACGGACTGGGATGGACTGGGATGGGACTGGGACTGACTGGGATGGGACTGGGAGGGACTGGGACTGACTGGGATGGGATTGGGACGGACTGGGACTGACTGGGATGGGACTGACTGGGATGGGATTGGGACGGACTGGGAGGGACTGGGACTGACTGGGATGGGACTGGGATGCACTGGGAGCTCTGCAGAAGCGGCTCAGGACGGGTTGGGGTGGGCGCGGTTTGGGAGTTTGAGGAGATTTTGGCTCTTGGGGCGGCGTTTTTGGGATCCCCCTCAGTTTCAGGGCCCCCCAAGTTTTTGGGATTTTTCTCCTCAATTTTTGGGTTTTCCCTTCCCCCTCCATTTTTGCCGTTTTCTCCCCGTTTTTTGGGGTTCCCTCCCCGGTTTCGGGGTCCCCCGTCCCCCCCCCAGGTACTACGCCTTTGACGAGGTCCTGGCCCGGGAGCTGCTGGGCAAGAAACTCTCCAAGGGCACCAAGAAGGAGCTGGACGAGGTCAGCGCCCGCACCGGGGTCGGGATCCGCAGCTGCCGCCGCCAGGTGAGACCCCCAAACCTGGGGGGGGGCGAGGGGGGAACGGGGCAGCCCTAAAATGGGGCAGGAAAACGGGGGAGAAACTCCGGGAAAGGGGCGAGAAAAATCCCAAAGTCAGGGGGAAGGGAAATGGGGGAGAAATGCCAGAAACGGGAAAAAATCCCAAAAGCGGGGGAGGGAACCCCAAAAAATGGGGGGGAAAGGGGAGAAACCCAAAACCAGGAGGAAAACCCCGAGGGGGGTGTGGAACTGGGCTGGCCCTACTGGGGAGCCTGGGGGGTGTTCAAGGGGGGCATTTTGGGGTCGGGGGGGGCCCTGGGGGTGGATTTGGGGCGCTGACCCCTCTCGCCCCCCCCAGTTTGACAACTTCAAGAGGGTCTTCAAGGCCGTGGAGGAGCTGCGGGGACCCCTGGCCGAGAACATCCAGCAGCTCTTCCTGCTGCCCCCTCCCCTCGCCCGGTGGGTCGGGGGAAAATTTGGGGAGGGGCTGCCCCGGGGGGAGGAACCGAGGGGATCCAGGGGGTGCCGGGACCCCCCAAAAGTGCTGG